AAAAAAAAAAAAAAAAAAAAAAAAAAAAGAAGTGTACTACATGGTCATACAACAAACTATTATCTGACAATAAAAAGGGATAAAGTGCTGACACATGCTAACGTGGATGAACCTCAGAAACAGTGTGGGAAGTGAAAACAGTCGGATGAACAGGTCAGTCTACAGAGACAGAAAGTAGATACTGGCTGATCGGGGCTGGGAATGGGGAGTGACTGCTAATGGATACAGGATTTTTTTGAGGGGGCTAACGAAAATGATCTAAAATTAGATTGTGGTAACAGTTACACAGTTCTGTGAATGTACTGAAAATCACTGAATTGTGTATGGGAATTATAAAGCTATTTTTTAAAAAACTACTGTAGAAAGATTATTTTAAATTATCAAAATATGCATTATATTTTTAACCTAAATTCTCATATTTCTGGTAGTAACATAAACAAGATCAGTTTTTCCAACACTAAAGTAGAAAGAGATTGCCAAGGGGGTACCAGATCGGATTAGGTTAATTAATAAAACTAAATTTAAACACTTCTTTTGAAATCCAGATGAGGCATGAATTATGTTTTCATTTGTATTTCCTAAAAAAAAGCTGAAATTAGCAGGTTTTCGTAAAGTAATTAAATGTGAAATCTCAAAAGGATGCTTTCCTAAGGGGAGAGAATTGAAGAGCCACAGCTCTGACTGATGTAATTTCGTAGAGAGCTCTGGAGGCCCAGATATGGACACGAATTGTTTTATTTAAGAAGGCATGAACTTCTTGGAAAATCCTTGTCTTTTCATTCCCCACTTGTAGAACCACAAATTATTAGAGATGCAAGGTACTTAAGAGACTGCTAGTCCAACACCCTGCTTACATAAATGAAGGACCCGGGACTGCCCCTCCAACCGCTGTAAATTATGACTGGGTGGATTTTACTGCTTTCCCTCTAATATAATATAGTGTTTAAAAAGAAAGGTTATGAGATAAGATTTCTTTGAGACTCTCCTTACTCATCTGAAACACAGGATAACAATAGTACTACTTCAGAGTGTTGGTGCTATGAAGATTGCATAAGAAAATACATAAGAGAATTGCTTAACATAGTACCTTCCACAAAAGCAGACATCCAACAATGTTGGTTTTTTTCACTTCTGCCCCATTGATGCTTCCATTCTCCCAATGTTTAATCAGCACGTGACACTGACAAGATGAAAGATGGTCAGGCCAGACTGCCTTCTACGCCAGGGCAGAGTCCTGGCTTGTAGCACAAGAATTACAGAGATGGCTGAGCCTGTCACGAATCTGACTTGCCAGACTTAAGGAGACACTTTTCCCCCTCATAACAGTGAACAAGGACCAAGATAAAAAGTTTACGGTAAAAGAAGAGAAATAGGTGCAAAGCTGTTGCAGACAATGAAGAGCTCAACACACGACAAGAGTCAGTTCACCAAGCAAATCTCCAAGCTCAAGGCTTCCTTTGGCTACTAAGCAAGCCCGTTCCAAGTGCTAGAATCTCAGGAATCTAATCCACATCATGTTTAAGGTAACTCCCCAAAAAGGAGAAAAATTAGAATAC